TGGAAGGTGTTAAAGAGGACATCAACATGTTTTTTGTTTCAAAGCCAAGTGATTTCTTTAATCAGCGTAATAACAACCTGATTGTAAGATGGAAAAGCATCATCGATCACAATGGAGACTATTTCATTTAACAAATGTTTTGTTTTAATATATAAGTTGTTTGGGTTTTTTCATCTAAAAAAAAAGTGACATTAATTTCTTGACAACCTAATGGATCTCCTGATGCATGCACAGTAGGTCACATGGAAGGTTGGAGAGTGGAGAATTATGGGTATGTTGATGCATGCTTTTCATTGCATCAAGGACATTCAGAACTTTTAGTCATATTATTGTTGATAGAATAAGAGCAACTCAGGAAGGGAAGGATTTTAGTATATCAGAGGAAAGTGACTGTTTGAAATACACGTTAATTCTAGAAATAAACAAATTAGGCTTAGCTTGATACTAGTATACTGGTAGCAAAATATTATACATTTTAATTTTTAGATCTAGATATTGAAAATGAATATTGAATTATAAATGTAATCAGATGAGCAACTTTTAATTCCAAAAAAGCAAGCCAGAAGTTGAAACCTCCAATGATTTTGTAACGAAATATGCCAAAGATAAAATTAAAGGATGAGAAGGTCTTTCTCGTGGTTTAAAAAAAAACATCTAGAATAATAACTTCAATATGTAAAAAGAAATTGAAAGAATTGTGGAACAAAATGTTATAACTTTTTCAACTTTTAAATCAGTGTCTTATTTACAGTTGCTGTTATGTGCTGTATAATCATATTGTGATTTTTTTTCATATCTTTTATTAACTTTTATTTCAACTGTGTTCCTAATAAAACTCCAATGTCTTTGGTTTATAGTTATTATTTGTAATACAAATGGACTTGAACAAACTGCCAGAATAACATCTTTGGACGGATATTGATTAGTCTTTACTAACTCTGTTTAGAAAGTATTTATTGGATATTTTAATCTGTTACCATAATATCCTGCACATATGTAGCTTTTGCTATGTTTAATTATTTTCTAATTATTTTTTACATACATTTCCAAATCTTGTTAAAAATTAAGAACAAAAAACTACATTAACATATGAGCTCGTTCAGTAGATTATATAGAGCTTGTTATAAACGTGTTCAGTGGCAGTCTTCATGATTTGTTGATAACAGACTGTTGTGCAGTTCCTCAGCTAGTGTTTTATTACTTTTTCAAACAAAAATAAGTATTTGAACATTTAGCTCTGAATCCATGTTGAATAAAAAATAAGTTCTATTTGAAAGTTTTATGGCAATTTCTAAATCTTGTATCTTATGATATTACAACAGAATGTAACAATGTGTATTAGTAAAAGGAGAGGCATTAGTAAAATCCTTTTTTATAAACCATAAAGATTTTATTAAATTTTAAATACTGTAATTATATGTAAAATAATATTGAACTCGTGAAATTAATGAATTTCAGTAAGGATTGTTAAGTAGGCTATGAAACCTCTTACTGAATGTATTAAATGTTTATCTTATCATAACTTTTGATATGCTATGGTTTCTAAGAATGGAGATTTTCTTGTAAGCCTGACTGTTAGAATAGTTTTAGCAAGTAGTTCTAGAGATAGTTAAAAGAGCATCATTGTTTAGGTCACTAACAGTACTTTCATTGAAACAAAGATATGGGGACAGATCTGAAAATGTTCAGAATTTTAACTGGCATAATCTATGGTGAGTTGAGAAGTAACTACTGGTCAGTAGTATGCAGAATATAGCACTCTGTTAACTGGCATAATCTATGGTGAGCTGAGAAGTAACTACTGGTCAGTAGTATGCAGAATATAGCACTCTGTTAACTGGCATAATCTATGGTGAGCTGAGAAGTAACTACTGGTCAGTAGTATGCAGAATATAGCACTGTTAACTGGCATAATCTATGGTGAGCTGAGAAGTAACTACTGGTCAGTAGTATGCAGAATAGAGCACTCTGTTAGCTGGCACAATCTGGTGTACTGAAAGTTAAATACTGATCAGTAGTGTGCAGAATAGAGCACTTTATTAACTGGCATAATCTATGGTGAGCTGAGAAGTAACTACTGGTCAGTAGTATGCAGAATAGAGCACTGTTAACTGGCACATTCTGGTGTGCTGAAAGTTAAATACTGATCAGTAGTGTGCAGAATGGAGCACTTAGTTTACTGTCACAATCTCTGGTTGGCTCAATAGTGCAAAGAATCAAGTAGTTTGTTAACTAACATAAATAGAAAACTCATCTCTTAGTTATAAGTATGTAGACTTTGTGGTAATAAGCATGTTTTCATCACACATGAATGTATGAATATATGTACATTCAAGTGTATAAAAGTTTGTATTATTATATATACTAGCCTGTCAAGAATGATGGAGCAAGTACTACCACCCCACCCCTTGTATACCTTAACCTCACATTTCATAACTAACTGAAATAGATAAATTATGCAAAATCAAGCTTGACCAACAAAGCGGCAGAAAAGTGCAGTTGAGCCAATCAAATTTAAGGACATTCAGGAAATGAATTTGTGGCGTCTTCATAGAAAAATTATTTTAAAAATCAGTTAGATTAACAACTTTTAATATATATAGAAAATCCAATGCGTTTTGATAACACTACGTTCTCACAATGGTTTTTATGTTATATAGCTTAGCAATAAAAGTATAATCTAATATTGTTGTTAGTCTTTATACTGAAAGTATAAAATGAAATGTATAGACAACAAAACTGGAAAACTATTTGTTGATTTTTTAAAGTCTCCATTGATTAAAGAGGTTTGTTTTTTATTAAAAACATTGGTGATATAACAGAAAATAGCTTAATTCAGAAATGATTTAAGTTTAAAATTGAGTCGATATTTTTACTTTCATGATAAATTTTATGTGCTTGGCTCTAGGCTAGGTGATTCCACACTACTTCTTTACTCTAGGCTTATTATACCAACACTCACTACACTTATAAGGTTTAACATCACTGCCCCTTCATGGTCCCTTTGCACCCCCGTCACTAAAATCGTAATGGGTAAACAGTAATCAAACTATTCTATCTGGATAAATGCATTTTGGCTTCTATGACTCCTCCTATTTCGAGAAATCAAGCATGATGTGACACACACTGGCTTTTATATAGGTTAGATTCCCTTAGTGTTTTGTAAATGGTTTTTCTTACTCAAACAAAATTTTCTGAATAGCAAGTGTAACTAGGTGCTTTCTTTGTAAACTTTTTGCAAATAATATTGGTTTAATGAAGATTTCATGAAACCCTTAAAAAAACTAGTTACATTACTTTTTCTGTTATTGTTTTTAAGATCTTATGGATGTTACCAAACAAAAGGACCTCAGTGGATTTTACCGTCATTTTTTGAACCAGACTGTTGGTGAAGAAAATATTCCTGGAGAGGAAAAGCATGTGAAAAAGGAAATTATTTCATGTGATGAAGAAAGCAGCACAAAAAGTATCAGTGCAAAACTCAGGAGAAATAAGCACAGAATCAAAGATGAATCCCAGGGTGTTAATGATAAGAACATTAAAAATCATTCTGAGTCCAAAAAGGTTGAATCAGTTAATGTGGATGCTGATAGTGATTTTTCTGTTGATTCTGAAAGTTCCAGTAGTAGTAGTAGTAGTAGTAGCAGTAGCAGCAGTAGTAGCAGTACTAGTAGTAGTGACCAAAGTAGTGATGAGTCAACTTCACAAGATAAGAAAGTTAATAAAAAAAAAGTTCTAAGAAAAATGTTGAACTTAGAAGTAATGAAAGTTACAAAAAGGCAGAGAAAGAGGGAAGAGAAAATATGAGAGAAAGTAGATCATCTTCATCGCATAAAGAAATAAAACAAGAAAAAGACAGAAGTAAGAAAGGTAAAACATCATCATCCACTCTTATCAGGGAAAGACAATATCGCAGAGAGTCTACGAAAATAAACAAGTCACCATCATCATCCTATAACAGAGAAAACAGGCACAGAAAAGAACTAAAGAAAGTAAATAGATCATCTTCTGAAAGAGAGGGAAGAGATCCGAGAGAGATAAGAAAGATAAACAGATTGTCACCATCTCCTGTCAGGGAAGACAGGTATACAAAAAAGACAGAGAAAGTGCATAGATCATTTTCTGAGAGGGAAGGAAGAGATCAAAGAGAGAATAGCAAGTTAAATAGATTGTCAACAAACTCTGTTAGAGAAGAAAATCAGAGGAGAAAAGAGTTCAAGAAGATAAGTTTAAGTAGGTCACCTTCTCCAAGTGATGACCGAAGTCACAGAAGAAAAACAAGAAAGAAGAGTAAATCATCATCACCAGACAGAAATAGAAGGGACAAAAAAGAATCAAGAAAACTAGATCATTCACAGACTTTATCTCTGGAAAGAAAACACAAAGTGGGTAACAGAAGAAATAGCAAATCACTGTCTCCATTTTCAGATGAAGATAAGAAGAGGAGATGTAATAAAAAGAAGAAAAGGACCCCATCTTCATCCTTAGATAGGGAAAAAATACATAAAAGAGAAAAAAGAGAGAGGAGAAAGTCACTATCTTCATCTTCAGGTAGTGAAAGAAAGGAAAGTAATAGTGACTCAAGGGAAAAGGTAAGACATACGAGAAAAGATCATAAAAATTCCCTTTTTAAGAAATCAAGAAAACATGAAAGGTCTTTATCAAATTCAACAGTAGATAAAGAAGACTATGAGAAATATGATAAAGATAGAAATCATTCTGTCAGTCAAGATCAGAAATACGAGAGAAAAGATTTCAAACAAAAATTATCGTCTAGAGAAAAGGCACATCACTATTCAGTGAAAAAGTTTTCTTCCTCTACTGTGGTTAAGCATGATGAAAACAGTGAAGAATCTAACCATGAAGATAAGAATATGAAAAAAGAGACAAAAAGAAAACATGAGAATCAGAAGAATCTTGAAAAGGATAAAACACTAAATTTTGCTTCTAAATTTGCGAAAAGAAATGTTGGTCAAGCTGTTGAAGATGCACGAGCAAGGTATTTTGCTCGCAAAGAAGCTCGAGAAGCAGCTAAAGCTGCTTTTGGTACGGTGACATAACCATACGTGTTTGTGAACAAATGTACATATATATTGTTATAAAACTACCTGTTTTGTACCAACTTAGATAGACACCTGTTGGTAGTTGTATACCCCTGTGTGCGTGTGTGATTTCCTTTACTCCCTTTAAGATTGTACATTAAAGTGTCCAGAGCAGGCAGAATAATAAACAATGAAACAAATAACATAACAGAAAACAGGGTGTTTAATTATCAGTTTCTTTAAAAGTTATTGTAAAACATTTTTTTATTAAAATAAAAATTGAACTTAATTATGTGAGTTACCATTTATTATCTTAACTATCTTTTATCACTCAAGTCTTTTGTTTGCTCTTCAGCTAGTTAAAACTTTCTTTCAAACTTAGATGCTATGAAACGTTTAAAAATCATAGTAGAACTTTATTATATCATGAAACACAAAGCTTGCCCATTGAACATGAAAAGTGAGAAACTAGGAAGTTATCCATTGTAAATCTGTGTCCTTCATAATATTATTATAATGTAGATAATGATTTCTGCATGTATGAAAACTAAATTTGGCTCACTCTAGAATTGAAAGATTCAATATTTTATGGGGTCACACTTGGTTGTGTAAAGTGAACATGAAAGAGCTGTCTTTTGAAAGGTAGGACAACATATTTGCAAAAAAAAAGCAACATAGAATCACACACTTAATGAACTGGAAATTAAATATGCTTTTCAACCTTTCTTACCATATTTTGGTAAATTTTGTTGAAATGTTTAAAAAATTTTTTTTTACTAAATGTATTTTACCTTTGAAAGAAGTTAAGGTTGTAAAGCTACTTATTCTCATAGAGTAGATAAAATTTCATTACTTTTACTTAAACATAAGAAAGTGTGAGAGATGATTTATAGTGGTATCTGTATCCTAATCAGTCATAAATGTCGATTTAGTATGAACATCTACTAATTTTAATGTCACTCTACACAAACTAATTTATCGTAATGAGTTTCCTGTTACTGAGTCTGTTTACTTCTCAACTGATCATTTCTGAAATGTTTGAAAGTCACTGAAATACCAATAGAGTATATTTTATTGAATGTATTTAAGACCCTTTTGGCACTTCCACTACAAGTAACAAATCAAGGTGTGTGACATATTTTGTCTAACTTTTTAATACTTTGTTTTCTCAATATTTCTAAAGATTTAGAGAAAAAGATTTTTAACTGTTATATTAAAATAGTACTAGCCAAGTAAAAGCTGGTTATTAGTTATAGGACATAAAGCTGTGTGAATTAGGTTACTGTGTCATTTTTGTTTGTTTTCCTCAGACTGGACATCTAAGTGTTTTAAGTCAGTTTATGTGTGGTTTTTGTATCACTGGGATTGTTTATTTTTTTTAAATAGATCTTGTTAATCATCAGTAAAAATAATAATTTTGATTTATTTTATTCATAATCTGTGAAATCGTTGCTGAATCCTTATTCTGAATTTAAACTTTTTAATTTCACTACAAAATGATGTAAAGAAACAAAAACAGATATGTTGTATTATGTATATAAAGTGCAGTTTGCTTACTTTTTTTGCATTTTAGTCTCATTTGAAAAGTTGCACAACTGTAAGAAAATGCAACAGTTTCTACTTTGCTTGAATTAAAAGCCCAGAATAACTTTTCAAAATATTTTTTGACAGTATTATCAGGGTACTTTATATTGTCGATATAAATTATATAGTTATTTGAGATACAAATTAACATTTGAAGATATGTAAAATTTTGTTTAATCAGAAATGCTGTTTTACTCATAGACATCGGAGCCTGAAAGAGTGGGGGACTTGACTCAATTAATTATATTGATGGACCCTGACATCATTGGCCCCCTTCCCAAATATTTTGATAATGACAATTTTTTATTTAGTCGTTTATGCAGTTGGAATACACAAAACCCATTTCTTAAAAACGTGACATGTGAAATGTGCATGACAAAGCAAACGTGAAAATGCGAGTTTCTAGTACATAACAAACAATTTAATCTGTGTTTTGTAGGTATAATACAGTGTTTGTTAATGTGAAGTTGTTAAATAATATTTTAAAGCGTTTTTATTGATTATCAGACAATCTTTATTCATTTACGTCAGTTCCCACCACCCAATGTTTGTACACTCCGACTGGAAAATTAACAAACACGCCTTTGTACAGGAAATCAGAAATTTACGATACATATACGTTGGGCGTCAATGTGTCAAAAAATACGTTTCGATTTTTCAGTGTGGATGTAAATCCATATTATCAAAATATGTTTAATGGAAATTTAAGGCCTTAAACTTCTAGATAGGGCTTTCTCAGATTAACAAGAGTTCAATGGCAAACGTACAGACTTTTAAACGCTAAAATTTGGGGTTTGATTCCTCGTAGAGTGCAGGTAATACATTGTGTAACTTTATACTACCAAAACAACAACAATAGATTAATAGAAATAAAACTATTAAGTTTCACTGCTGCTGAAATGGGCTTGAGATTTTGTAGTTAAACGTTATGTTCAATCATTTCCAATGATAGTTCACTTTGCAATAGAAAATTTTACATGAAATCTATGAAGTTAAATTGCTATGTCGAAAAATAATTATATTCATAACACGAAGATAAATTGTAAAACACGAAGTAAAGAGAAGAGACTACTGTAATTAGTTGAATTTTAATATTTGCTTACGAATTAAATGAAGTGTCCTTTTGTTATTATTCTACTTCCTGTCCTTTGTGGCACAACAGTAAGTTTGAGGGCTTATAATGCTGAATTTCGAGGTTAAATCATCATTTTCGTAGATCCAAGTTTTACACAAAATTATTTTTGGCACTGAATAAACAATTTGCTTTATATAGTTTAATGTTACAAAAAGTGTTCTTCAAGACACTAATGCTATCAATTCAGACTTTATTCTGATTTGTGATAATGAAATGATGCCAGGATTGTGACGAAGTACTCTGAACAAGAAATCACAATCAACAACGAGTTCTAACTAAAATATCAAAGAACCACTTTCATGTCAACGATTTAATTCACTAAACTACGTCAGAGAGCTTGGTATTGTTCTGATAGTGAAATGGGTCAGACGCTCCATAATTTTATTACTAACTGGTCAGAAGTGTGCTATGCTGCTCTGAAGACTGTATCATTGTCAGGAAGGGGAATAATCATCACATTTTGTGAAGCTAGATTTTCGGACCTTAACCCTGATTACTTTGAATTTGAAGGTATTTATGTTTTACTGAAATTGTAATTATTATTAACTATATCCAGAGAATATACAAGTTGACTTTCTAGTTGTTTGCTTGAAATTTAAATAAACCAGTGCGAAATGATGGTTATTAAATTGTTTCTTTTACTAACTTTAACTTGAAAACCAGTTCATCAATTAATTGGAAAAACCACTCGATTTAGTAAATGCCGTAATTGAACATATATTCTACAATTAATATTTTAAAAATGGTTTAATTCAGTTCTGTAAGAGCTATCATGTGTATGTAACCTATTAAACAGAAAAATATAATACGCTACGAGAGTCTATGGCTTGTGACTTGTTGCTACACAAGAAGAAAAAAAAACGCGCTTTATATGTGTGCTATAAAAGTGACCGTCAAATTGCACTATTTTATCAGACAAGAGTTGGCTATTGGCGCTGTTGATCATTTGCGTTTCCTCTGTATGATCTATCAGTTCAACATTAAGGATGCAGATAGCCAATTGTGTTGGTTGCGCGAAAATTCTGAAACAAAGAAGGAAGAATCAAAACATAAATTTTATGAAACAAATCCAGTATATCACGGTAGTGGAGCAAGTGTTCCCAACTGTGGTTGGCGGATTACTAGTAGATTGCAATCTCCCGTCAGGTGGTCCGAAGAAATGTCATAATGACTGAAAGGAAAAGTTTGTAGATCACAGAACAAACCTGGTTCTTGAGACCTTAAAAAATCAGCCATATAAACAGGAAAAATGCGTACAAATTAAGTTGAAAAGTCTAAAACTCTGCGCCATATAGCTTTTGAATTAAAGCAGGAAAACGTGTTTTTAATTGGGAGTTTTCGACATTTTAAAATAATGACCTGCCTGCTGGTCGTCTACGAAAGAATGTCACTTGTTGATGCTTTCTCGCGACAAAACATTAAGGTCAAAGACCCAATTTTTCATGGTATGTGTAGCTACAACTTATGTATTAAAACTTGCTTCTTCAATACATTACATTGTGTGTATGCAGTATTTGTAGTTAAAATGGCTCAAGATTCAATATCGTAGTATTAATTTTAAAATTTTATGGGGAGCATGCATCCAGACCCCTAGAAATGGTATTGTGGGTTACTGATTAGGAGTGGAATTCTCCGAAACTAGTATAATACACGTTAATCAAAGTGTAGATTGAACTGGGCCTCCCTTGAACTTAGACTTCGAAATAAAACAATTTTCGGAATATTAAGTTAATTTAATATATATGCTATTGTGCGGCTATATAATGCGAAGAACTAAATAGTGGCCAATGACACTTTTTCTTCACCTATCTAGTGTATAGGTTTTTCTCATAGTGACTACAAAGCACGTTCACACCAACAGTACGTTAAATACTTTTCACTATGATATAGGTCCAGCTTATTTCTCTTTGGTTAACTTGTGTTCAGGGTTAC